CTAAGCTAGTACTACTAGTACTAGTACTACTAGTACATAGTACTTCTAGTTAGTAACTAGTACTACTAGTTAGACTAGTACTACTAGTACTAGTACTACTAGTACTAGTACTACTAGTACTAGTAGTACTAGTATACTAGTACTACTAGTACTAGTACTACTAGTATACTTACTAGTACTAGTACTACTAGTACTAGTACTTACTAGTCACTAGTACTTAGTACTAGTTACTAGAACTATACTACTAGTTCTAGTACTAACTAGTACTAGTAGTACTTAGTTCTACTAGTACTGATAGTAGTATATACTAGTAGTACTAGTATATAGTACTTGTTAGCTAGTAGTTCTAGTATACTAGTACTCTAGCGTACTAGTTACTAGTACTAGTAGTACTAGTCTACTAGAACTAGTAGTACTAGTAGTACTAGTATACTAGTACTAGTTTATAGTACTATGTAGTACTAGTACTACTAGTCTACTAGTACTATGTACTAGAAACTGAACTAGTACTAGTACTACTAAGTAGTAGTTACTAGTAACTAGTACTATTACTACTAGTACTACTAGTACTATACTAGTACACTGTACACTAGTACTACTACGTACTAGTACACTACTACTTCTAGTACTATACTAGTACTGTATACTAGTACTAGTACACTAGTACTAGTCTAGTACCACTAGTACTACTAGTACTAGTACTATCTAGTACCACTAGTATACATAGTACTACTAGTACTAGTACCACTGTACTCTAGTACTAGTCACTAGTACTAGTACTAGTAACACTAGTACTACTAGTACTAGTACATATAGTACTACTAAGTACTAGTCACTACTAGTACTAGTACTACTAGTACTCTAGAACCTACGTACTTCTAGTACTTACTAGTTCTAGAACAACTTCTGTTCTAGAATAACTTCTAGCGCTAGTTCTAGAACAACTTCTAGCGCTAGTTCTAGTAACTTCTAGCGTAGTTCTAGAACACTTCTAGCTTCTAGAACTTCTAGTTCTAGAACTCTATACTACTGGTTCTAGAACTTCTATATACTGTTCTAGAACTACTAGTACTATGGTTCTAGAATACTTCTAGTACTATGGTTCTAGAACTACAACTTCTAGTACTTCTAGTTCTAGAACTACAACTTCTAGTCCACTTTTCAGACACTAGTTCAGTTCTAGAACTACAACTTCTAGTACTTCTAGTTCTAGAACTACAACTTCTAGTACTTCTAGTTCTAGAACTACAACTTCTAGTACTTCTAGTTCTAGAACTACAACTTCTAGTACTTCTAGTTCTAGAACTACAACTTCTAGTACTTCTAGTTCTAGAACTACAACTTCTAGTACTTCTAGTTCTAGAACTACAACTTCTAGTACTTCTAGTTCTAGAACTACAACTTCTAGTACTTCTAGTTCTAGAACTACAACTTCTAGTACTTCTAGTTCTAGAACTACAACTTCTAGTACTTCTAGTTCTAGAACTACAACTTCTAGTACTTCTAGTTCTAGAACTACAACTTCTAGTACTTCTAGTTCTAGAACTACAACTTCTAGTACTTCTAGTTCTAGAACTACAACTTCTAGTACTTCTAGTTCTAGAACTACAACTTCTAGTACTTCTAGTTCTAGAACTACAACTTCTAGTACTTCTAGTTCTAGAACTACAACTTCTAGTACTTCTAGTTCTAGAACTACAACTTCTAGTACTTCTAGTTCTAGAACTACAACTTCTAGTACTTCTAGTTCTAGACTACAACTTCTAGTACTTCTAGTTCTAGAACTACAACTTCTAGTACCACTAGTTCTAGAACTACAACTTCTAGTACTAGTTCTAGAACTACAACTTCTAGTACCACTAGTTCTGGAACTAATAACTATTTACAAGTACATGTACAAGGTATACAGACCATAGCTGACATCAATGACATACTACTATATAGAAAGCCGCTTGTTATGCTGAGCATTTGGGGCAAATTAGGTCAGTTTTGTCCCAGGATGCGACCCATACCATTCCACTAACACCCAGGTATCCATTTTACTGATGGGTGAACATAGACAACCGGTGTTTGGAAACACGCTCAATGTTTCAACCCTCGCCGGGAATCGAACCCGGTATCTCACCGTGTGAAGCTATAGCTTTTGCCACCAGGCCACGGGCCACCGTATACAACTATTATAATATGCTCTGCACCCCAGTCTAATAGTTGTATTGTTTGTAACGGCTTGACAAAGCTCCTGGAGAGCGAAACGTTGTAATAAAGTGGAGCATTAGTTGCACTTGTGTGCTTCTACCTATCATAACACACCTTGTCCACTTACATTCTCAGAGACTTATATAGCTCACTTTTGTAAGTTATAAGTCTGAAGAGACAAAGCCCATTAAAACAAACCATACCACGGGTGGGGTTTGAACCCGCGATCAGGGTCTTAAAACTCCAGACCGTCGCCTTAGCCACTGGGACAGCTAGCTTCAGTAAGATTCATCCAACTAGGTGTATTTCTACACCATAGGAAGGTTAGCATAGAAATATACCGGTCTGGAGTTTTAAGACCCTGATCGCGGGTTCAAACCCCACCCGTGGTATGGTTTGTTTGCAATCGTGTCATTACGATTTCGTGAGTAAAGCCCATTACAGTTTGTGTTTTTTCGTTCTTTGTACACACTGCAAGACGTTGTGACGTACACAAACTGTCAACGTTTGAAGTTGATGGTATTGCGTTTTCTTTAGTGATGACAGAAAACGAGAAGAAAAATAGAAAATAAATTCTGGCAAACACTTAAAGGTGGTGGTAGTAGTAGTAATAGTAGTAGTAGTACCAGCATTACTAGTGCTTGTATTACTAATGGCACTGTATTACTAGTAAAATGGTACTAGTATTACTAGTGATAGTACTAGTGTTACTAGTACTATATTGCTAGTAAAGTGGTACTAGTATTACTAGTGCTACTACTAGTATTACTAGTATATTAGTAAAATGGTACTAGTATTACTAATATTATATTACTAGTAAAATGCTACTTGTATTACTAATGGTACTATATTACTAGTGCTAGTACTAGTATTACTAGTGGTACTATATTACTAGTAAAATGGTACTAGTATTACCAGTGCTATTAGTACTAGTGGTACTATATTACTAGTAAAATGGTTCTAGTATTGCTAGTGGTACTAGTATTACTAGTCCTAGTGGTACTAGTATTACCAGTGCTAGTGGTACTAGTATTACCAGTGCTAGTGGTACTAGTATTACCAGTGCTAGTGGTACTAGTATTACCAGTGCTAGTTGTACTAGTATTACTAGTGCTAGTATTACTAGTGATAGTGCTATATTACTAGTACTAGTATTACCAGTGTGACTAGTACTAGTATGACTATTGCTAGCAGCACTAGTGTGACTATTGCTAGCAGTACTAGTGTGACTATTGCTAGCAGTACTAGTATGACTAGTGCTAGCTGTACTAGTGTGACTAGTACAAGTAGTACTAGTCCTGGTGCTATTGCTGGCCTTCCTGATTACCGACATGGTGCAGACATAGTCAACATTAGACGTGGAACAATAGATGGGGAGGAGCAGGGGTAAACGAACATGGAGGGAGAGAGAGAGAGAGAGAGAGAGAGAGAGAGAGAGAGAGAGAAGAGAGAGAGAGAGAGAGGAAGGGAAGGAAGACTTCTTCACGAACACAGGTCAAAACAATCATCACACACGAACACACGAGTCAAGAACACTACTACCTTCACTAACATTACTAGTAGTAGTACTGTTCGTGTGTAGTGTGTTCGTGTGATGATGTTAACCTGTGTTCGTGCAGAAGTCTTCCCTACCTGCGTCTCTCTCTCTCTCTCTCTCTCTCCTCTCTCTCTCTCTCTCTCTCTCTCTCTCCATGTTTGTCTATCCCTGCTCCTCCTCATCTTCTGTTCCACGTCTAATACTGGCTGTACATCTTCAACATCTGTCGGTAATCAGGAAGGCCAGCAGCAGCAATAGCAACATGAAATTAACACAACCTCGGAGCCCAACAAGCATATAAGTCAGGAAATACTTTAGTCACTGGGTGGCGAGTAAGTGGAAGGCATCACACAATGGTTGTGCAGACAAATATTACACACACTTAAGAGTAGGTATGTACGGAACATGAACATGAGGAATTATTATAGCTGGTTAGTGTGCGTTAAGAGGAGCGTGAGTTTCCGTATCTCCTAATATCAGGGTTTGTTTTCCCCTATAATCTATTTTGTCCGTAATTACTATCGCATTTGCTTTGTCTGTTTCGTAAGGTGAAGTCCAGGATCTTTCCTTAATTCATGGTATAACTTAACAAATCTTTGAGGGCAATTGTGCTGCAGAGGTTTGACCAAAGCTCAGGGGAACTGATGTGCCCGTTAACATTCAGACCTAAAACCCGTGGCAACCCCCTCCCCCTGTAAACACAAGTAGGTAAGTACAATGTTATAAATATACAAGTACCTCGGAAATTCCAGAAGCTGTGTATCGACGTTCGTAAACAACCAGGAGAGTACACAAAACCCTCGTGGAAACTAAAATAATATCTTTATTTACTACATGTACAAGGTATACAGACCATAGCTGACACCACTGACTTACTGCTATATAGAAAGCCGCTTGTTATGCTGAGCATTTCGTGCAAATCAGGTCAGTTTTGTCCCAGGATGCGACCCACCCTAGTCGACTAACACCCAGGTACCCATTTTATACTGATGGGTAAACAGGGACAGCAGGTGTCTTATGGAAACACGTCCCTAATGTTTTCCAGCCGTGCCGGAGGAGATTCGAACTCCGGACCTCAGTGTGTGAGCTGAGTGACTCGACGAGTGACTGGACGTCTGGCAACAAACTAAGTACATGAATGGTATATAGTACCGACAAGATGAAGAATTAGAGACGTCTAAAAATAAAGATACCCAGATGTTGCACATGTCTAATTCTGAAGACCTAGGTAAGTACACTGGTCACTAGGCATTGTTGACATACTTACCTTAAGTCAGGTGGGATGTGGATGTATTGACCAGGTGTAAATGCGTCGCATTTGTGCTGCTGCTGACACCACAGTAGCGGCAAATACATGGAATTCATGCTCATCAAGTCCCCAAGCTGTTCACTTAACCAGTTTATCCCTTAATCACTAGTTTTCAAGTGTGTCCCGACACTAACTGGCAGAGACTGTGTACCGGAACCATGAAAATTAATAACAGGAGCTGGAGACAGTATTTTTTAATACTGAACAGTGGAGGAGGATGCGTGTTGTGGTACGGTGTAGGGGAGAGGGTGAGAGAGGTAGTTGCTACAGTGGGTGAGAGGTAGTAGCTGAACCTTCGCCCACCAGCGACCTCAAGAGGAAGGTGGCTCGCAGATTTTATATATCTCGGCTCCTCTCACACACAAGCGCACGTATATATATGCGCTCCTCCCGCTGGACGTGTCTAATTTTTCACTTGAGGCTTCCAAAAACAGTAAAACCCTTAGTGGTAATTGGTGGGAGTGTGGAGGGTGAGTTATTGGGCCATAGCTCCACCCACGAGGCCATAGATAGCTCCACCCACGAGGCCATAGCTCCACCCACTGGGTCACAGTTCCACCCGTGAGGTCACAGTTCCACCCTCAAGGGCACTGTTCCACCCATGGGATCACAATTCTACCCCAAAGGACAAAAACAACTTTTATAAGGCCCCAGATACTCCCCGTGGCCACTAGTCCGTCCCTAGGGAGTCGAAATTTGCTGTGAGCGGCAGAGAGCAGAGTAAGCAGTGTTCATGCCACCGAGGTTGTGGCTACTGCTTTAAAAAGTGTCGAAATTGTGGGCAGCTGAAATGGTCCGTGGGGCCCCATGCGTACCCCGGTGGTGGGGCACCAAGGCCCTGGATTGTGGGGCCCCCAACACACCAGCCAACACATAACTTTTAGTAATGTTACCGCATTTAATTAGCAAGTACAGTGTGTGTGTCCAGTGTACTTCCCCTACCACGTGTAAACAGGTAAAGAATGTGTGTGTGTGTGTGTGTGTGTGTGTGTGTGTGTGTGTGTGTGTGTGTGTGTGTGTGTGTGTGTGTGTGTGTGTGTATGTATTCGCCTATTTGTACTCCTATTTGTTGTTGCACGGGTCGATTCATAGCTCCTGGCCCCGCCTCTTCACTAATCGCTACTAGGGCGCCTCTCTCCCTGCGCTTTATCATACCTCGTCTTAAAACTATGTATGGTTCCTGCCTTCACTACCTCACTTGCTAGGCTATTCCACTTCCTGACTACTCTGACTGAAGAAATACTTCCTAACATCCCTTTGACTCATCTGAGTCTTGAACTTCCAACTGTGACCCCTTGTTTCTGTGTCCCATCTCTGGAACATCCTGTCTCTGTCCACCTTGTCAATTGCTAGCAGTATTTTATATGTCGTTATCACGTCTTCTCTAACCATCTTGTCCTCCAGTGTTGTCAGGCCGATTTCCCTTAACCTTTCTTCGTACGACAATCCCCTTAGCTCTGGGACTAGTCGTGTTGCAAACCTTTGCTCTTTCTCTAATTTCTTAACGTTCTTGACCAGGTGTGGGTTCCAGACTGGGTGCTGCATATTCCAGTATGGGCCTGACGTACACGGTGTACAGTCTTGAACGATTCCTTACTGAAGTATGGGAACGCTATGTGTGTCTGTGTCTGTCTCTCTGTGTCTGTCTGTCTCTGTCTGTCTGACTTTCTCTGTTTTGTTGGTGTCTGTTGTTTTATATATGTGAGTGCGCCTCTCTCTCCCTCCCAGTAGTGTAATAAATGTAATAGTGAATGGTATCCTGGCTGAACCACTTAAGTCTCCCAGTTCAGGCTAACATCTATCAACACTATGTAACTATCATATAGAATAGGCTAGCAGCACATTGGTGATGTCTTCAATTTGGCTAACTTATAAACGTATTGCTGGTGAGAGCAGTCAAGATTACTGCTTCTGCTGGGACTGCTGCTCTTGCTTCTGCTGCTGCTGGGACTGCTGCTCTTGCTTCTGCTGCTGCTGGGGCTGCTGCTCTTGCTTCTGCTGCTGCTGGGACTGCTGCTCTTGCTTCTGCTGTTCGCTGCTGCTGCTACTATTGCATATGTTTCTTTTATTCTTATTGCATTTTTTCGTAGTCTTGATTTTTTTATGTTACTCCTATTTGCCTTCCCGCTGGAGCAGCAACACCACCACCACCACCATCACCAACACCACCAACACCACCAACACCACCACCATCACCACCAACACCACCACCATCACCATCACCAACACCACCAACACCACCAACACAATAATAATCCCAAACCTTGTTCCAATTGCAGAAATAAAATGATGATGAATAACAGATTCAGTGTTCTCTTGGGGACTGATGGTCTCCAGTGATGATGTTCTCTATGGACTAATGTTCTCTGTGGACTAATGTTCTCTGTGGACTAATGTTCTCTGTGGACTAATGTTCTCTGTGGACTAGTGTTCTCTGTGGACTAATGTTCTCTGTGGACTAGTGTTCTCCAGTTTCCTAATGTTCTAATGGAACTAATGTTTCCTAGGGAGTTGATGTTCTCCAGTTGGCCAATGTTTTTCAGGGATCTGTTTTCCAAGCGAGCTGATGTATGGTAAAATAGGAAAGAAAATGAAAGGAAGAGGAGGAATAGTGGTAGTAGTAGTAGTTTTAGTAATACCAGTAGCAGCAGTAGTAGTAGTGGTGGTAGTAGCAGCAACAGCAGCGGCAGGCCAGCGGTTCTAGACTTATCAACCCATCGTCAGGTACAACGAAAGTGAGGCTCAGACAAGCTGGTAATTTTAGTTCCACTAGATGCCTGGCTCGAATCCAGATCATTACACTAAATTGTTGAATTAGTTCACTACGAGTTTTATGTGAACCACAAAGAACATTTAGAAGCTGAAAAATTGTGTGGAGGGGAGAGAGAGATATCTAGCTAGCTAGCTAGCTGTCGTCTGTTTCAAGCTGAGATACAGAGAATTGTATTCACTACTACTAGTGTTGTATGATAAACACCGATTATACTTCCTAATAATGATAATATTGGTAGGCAATAACACTGAACTGCAACAATTATTAAGTGAGGAATGTTCCAAAATAATGGAAGATGAACGTTCAAGAAATGTTAAACAGTGAGAGGCAAGAAGTCTCCTTGAAGAGAATGACCAACAAACTGCTAAAAAAATAATTGTGAACTTGTACAAAACATTGTGCCTCACAACACACACATGCATTCAGAAATGGAAAGCCTTCTTTGTGTTTATATGGAAGACACGGGACCAAGAGCTGGAGCTAATTTATATATATATATATATATATATATATATATATATGTATATAATATATATATATATATATATATATATATATATATATATATATATATATATATATTATAACACACATCCCTTTACAAACTCGTGACTCAGGCATCATAGTGATCCAATTTATATTCACCTTTAGGGCGTAGGTGATCGGCTTGGCACGGGTGTGGGTGGTGTGGCACGGGTGTGGGTGGTGTGGCACGGGTATTGGTGGTGGTGGCACGTGTGTGGGTGGTGGGCGTGGCGCGTGGGTGGTGGGCGTGGCACGGGCGTGGGTGGTAGATGAGAATGGTGTTTGGAATCTCATTATCATCGTTGCTGTGTAAGCCAAAAGTAGGGTATTTAATTGCTGTTTTTTTTTTTTTTAGCTAGAGTTGAGACCTGGCTGCTGGGCCCGTCTTTTATCTTCCAAGCGATCGTTGTTATTTCTACTGTTGTGTCCCCCCCTTGTTGGTGTCACACACACACACACACACACACACACACACACACACACACACACACACACACACACACACACACACACACACACACACACACACACACTCACACACTCACACACACACTCACACACTCACACACACACTCACACAACTTTACTCACACACTCACACACACACACACTCTCTCACTCTCTCTCTCTCTCTCTCTCTCTCTCTCTCTCTCTTTTCTCTCTCTCCTCTCTCTCTCTCTCTCTCACTCTCTCTCTCACTCTCTCTCTAAACCACCTACAGAAGGCCCTCAACCGCGACAACCCCAATGCAACCAAACAGTCTAACCCAAAACACACACACCGTACACACTGCCCCCATCCCCTTCATCACAAACTACCTTCACAGCAACTCCCCAATAGTTCCCTGCTAGGTCTCCCGCTCCCCTAACCCCAACGAACTCCCCAGACCACAGTTTCAGGAAAGAAGATGAAGGTTTGGTGTACGAATGCAGACAGAATAACAAATAAATATGAGGATTGCAGGACAGAATCAAGATGATGTCCCCAGACATCATAGCACTCGCAGAAACGAAACTCATTGGGATAACAGACGCAATCTTCCCACCTGGATAACAGATCCTGAGGAAAGATAGAGTGCGTAGAGGGTAAGGAGGAGTTGCACTGCTCATAAAAAAATTGATGGGGATTTGAGGAAATGGAAGGAATTGACGGAATGGGGGAGAGGGACTACATAGTAGGAAAAATCCAGTCTGGGGGCCTTAAAATGGTAATTGCAGTGAAGTACAGCCCGTCACAGAACTGCAAGAGGCCAAGAGAAGAATATGAAGAGAACAGCAGAGAAATGGACACTCCAGCTGAGGTGGCAGAAAGCGTTCACACGAGTAAAGCAAAATTATTAGTTATGGGTGATTTCAATCACAAGGAGACTGACTGGGAAAACCTTGAGCCACATGGGGGTCCCGAAACATGGAGAGCCATGATGATGGATGTGGTATTGGAAAACCTCATGCAGCGACATGTTTTGGACTCTACCAAGGAGATGGGGGGGAGGGAGGGAGGTAGGTAAAGGTGAGGAGAGGATGAATCAGCAAGACTGGATCTCGTATTCACCTAGAGTAGCTCGGACATCGAGGGCATCACATATTAAAGGCCCCTCGGAGCTAGTGATCACATGGTTCTGAGCTTTCAATACAAAGTAGTGTTAAAAGTGTAGAGGGTAACAGGAGTAGGATAGGAAAAGCCAAACTACAAAATGGGGACTACACGGGCATGAGGAACCTCCTGCAAGAGGTTCAGTGGGAAAGAGAAGTGGTAGGAAAATCAGTAAACTAAATGATGGACTACATGACAATATAATGCAAGGAGGCAGAGGAGAGGTTTGTTCCCAAGGGCAACAGAAATAATGGGAAGACCAGAACAAGCCCTTGGTTTACCCGAAGGTGTAGGGAAGAAAAAAACTAAGCGTGCTAGAGAATGGAAAAGTACAGAAAACAAAGGACCTAGGAAAATAGAGATTAGTCGAAGAGCCAGAAACCAGTATGCACAGATAAGGAGGGAGGCACAGCGACAGTACGAAAACGACATAGCATTGAAAGCCAAGTCTCACCCGAAGCTGTTGTATAGCCACATAAGGAGGCAGACAACAGCCAAGGACCAGGTAATCAGGTTGAGGAAAGAAGATGGAGAGCTCACAAGAAACGACCAAGAAATATGAGGAGCTCAACATGATATTTAAAGAATTATTTACAGTGGATACATAAAGGACTCCAGGAAGTCAGAATACGGAGTACACCAACAAGAGATATACCAACAAGTGCTGGACGAAATACACAACCGAGGAGGAGGTGAAGACGCTACTAAGTGACCTTAATACCTCAAAGGCGGTGGGACCAGACATCTCTCCGTGGGTCTTTAGAGGAGGCAGGAACCATGCATAGTTTTAAGACGAGGGTTGATAAGACTCAGGGGGGAAAGAGAGAGAGAGAGAGAGAGAGAGAGAGAGAGGACCTAGTAGAGATCAGTGAAGAGGCGGG